GGCGGGGGGTGCGTGAGCGGCCGCCTAAACGCTTCATCCCCTTCTGCAGAACCCGGACATCGCCATCACCGACAACGTGCTGCACTTCAAAGGTAGGGGCTCCGTCCTTCGGGGGGGTGTGTGGGGTCGTGTGTCTCCTGCAACCCCACGCCTGATCCAGGCAGCTGCTCGCTGAGCCCGGCCCACCCGGGCGTGAGAGAGCAGGGTACCCGAGCCCATGGGGTGCCTGGTCAACCCCATGTCCCATCCAGGCAGCTGAGCCCGGCCCACCCGGGCGTGGGGTGTCCCGCGGGGTCCCCATTGCTGCCCTTGCTGGCAGCGACTGGGCTGGGTGCTGGGCATGGACGGGTACGTCGTGAGACGTGCCCACCTACAAACCCTTGTGTTCCAGCACTGGTGATGATAGCAGGTCGTATCTTATCTAATAAGAAAAACCCCACAACCTCCCCATATTTAAATACCAGTGACATTTCCGTATGTCTTTGCTCTCCCGGCTCAGCTGAACCCCGGAGATAACTCGCAGCAATTTTTTCCTTTCACAAAGACCTTGTTTGCAGCCGTTATCAAACCTCTGCATCGGGAACTAGCGCTTGATTTGAAAGGTAAAGCAGATCCCTCCCTAAAAGGTGGGTTTGTTTCAGCTGGGCAGCTGCACGTTGCAGCGCCGCCGAGCTTGTGCTGGTTGGCTTGTCAGGGGAGCACTGAGGATATGCTGTGGCTGGTGTTCTTTGGGTCTTCTCATTGATTTGGTGGTTGTCTTGAAGATGCATTGTCTAGGAAACGCTGTCTCCCTGGTGAGCCACAGCCGGGGCTATTTGATAGGGTGTTGTCGCACATCGTGTTCACTTCAGGATCAGTTTACAGCGTGGAAGGGTGGAAACAGAACACAGCATGCGGGTTTTCGGAGCCATTCCAGGGACAAGGCCCGTGTATGTGGGAGATGAGAGATAAACACGTTGGGAGAGGGCTCCTGCCATCACGCTTCTACGGAGCCGTCGGAGACCAGCCTCCCTGGACACTCGCTCCTCCGGGCAGGGGCTGGATCCCCAGCGGCAGTGGATTTTCAGTTGGATTCGAGTTAGCCATGAGCAGCCTTTTGAGTCCCTGTTTTGGGAATCTCACACGCTGCCTTCCTGCGAGCAAGGTCCCTTTTCCAGCACCATGCAGAGTGGCAGCAGCTGCTACAGTGACTGCACCTCCGAGCAATGTTTTGGGCTGTTTTTGTCTTCCCTGTTACCCTGTGGTTTCCTTCTGCCTCCCAGCAAGGCAGGGGGAAGCACTGTAAATAACTGCTGAATATTTCTGTGTGTGAAGCATCTTTGCAAGTGGGGTGTGCAGAACCAGCTAGTTCCTCCACGCTGACTGTTAATTCTTGTTTTTTTAGCTCAGGGTCATGGTGCCAAAGGGGACAACATCTACGAATTTCAGATCGAGTTTCTAGAACCGGTTGAGCCTAAAGTAGGTATTTTTACTTTTCTGACTCTTGCAAAGAAAAAGTAATTTCTGAAAAACTTGAAAGGAAAAGGGCTGTGGGTGAAGTTCACGACGTGCTGTTTAGATGTTCCTGGTGACTGTGTAACTGCTGCAGACTAAATCCGTCTGTGACAGTCCTCCATCCTTCGTGCTGATCACCTCACTGGTGCTAGTGCTTGCATGGGCCTTATGTGTATCAGCTAGTAAACAGCAATTGTCAAATTTTAAAGGATTTAAATCAGTGAAAGAATGGGAGAATCTGGCAGCGCACTGTCTGATGCAACCTCGCCTGGAGAGCAGGGGTAAACTGTGCTGCAAAGTGTCAGTGTGGTGTTTCATGGCTTCTTCTGCAGCCCAACAAAAGAAAGTTCTGAGAACTCATGCTGCTGACTTGTGCAGGTTTCTTAGGCTGCCAGTACAGATACCTGG